TCCTCGAGAGCCTGACGAAGCTGATCTTCGGTATATTGAGGCATTATATATAGAAGAAGACATGTGCAAAAGATGAGCCCATTTGGACGCGAATTGAAAATGTTGTGATAAAAGGAGGTTGGGGGTGGGCATTGGGTTGTGGTGGATTTTCGCGTTTTTGTGGGTGCCAGAAACAGGGGGGTGCCAGGAAGTGGGTATGTTGACTTATCGACCATGACTTACGGACGGAAGAAGTTCAGAAATCACCCTTGTCAGTAGGCTCTTGCATGGCGAGGATATGCATTCTGGGGTTTACAGTTTCGTTTCTTGCTGGAGTTCACTTTGTTGCCCGAGTTTTCATCGTTGTTGAGGCTTTCATCAGTCTTAGGCAGGTCCCTATCGGTGTCTACTCGATGCCGTCTTGGATCCAGATGATTCCTCACCTTTGACACGCTTGCGAGGACAAGGAGACTTCGACATAATAGAATTCTGCATGACCCGAGTCATGATTTTGTGACATTTCAAACCAAGAAGACTTGATCACAAATACACATGTGCTTAGAATGCGTTTGGTGGGTCAAAACTTTAACTATGTGAGTCCGAGTTCCCATCCATTTGATCCGCCGGTACCCAGCTATCTATATCTGGCTTCTCTTTAATGTTGATGACACAAATCTAAGTCGGTCCTGCAAACTGCAGACAGTATGTCTATGTATAGGTCTTCCGTTATCATCCACCGCGTGATACAGTCTGTCAATCAGGAGGCCTAGTCGTTTCGTCCGAACTCGTACTAAACTATGAAGCACATGAAGCTCATCCTCTTTGTCTAATGTCCCTTGGCTCAACCTGAATGCTGGGTGCGACGTAAAATTGACGCTGCCGCTCCTGCTGCTAGAGCGTCTCCCCGAGTCACCATGGGAACTGGATGTATCCGAGTCATCATCTGCAGAAATGATGTCATCGTCTACGCAAAGCTTAGGGACCAAATACTCGACACCACCAAGCATCATATCGCACATTGATACGAGCAAGGCGACAAACTCCGGACGTGTGGAATGTGTGTGGCAGTCGAAGAAGGAGTCGAGGCCCTCCATAGTTCGCTTCAAGGACCGCAGCATTTCTGCGGGTGACGCAGGAGCTTTGCTTCGTATACTCCAGAGAAGGTTAGAACTAACGTCCTCATGCTGCAGAAAGACTCGCGCGTAGCATGAACATGAGAGACTATCTTGTTCCGGGTGTTGCTTCGATGGATTGTGTCGAGAACGCTGGCTATTTCGAGGCCACTCCTGATTATGACTTGAAGACTCCCGTATGTGCTTCCTCCGCCTTTCGACATGGGCTATAGACCTCTCTGTATCTGAGCCTAAAGAAATCACTCTGGGCCAGTCTGAGGCATTGAGACAGGAAAGTAGCGGGTCTATTCGAGGTGAGTTCGATGGGCTGTTGAGTGTTGCCTTCATGAAAGGCTGATTCCCTGTACGACAGCAACGTTAATGTTCGAACGGCTTCAATGCTGGCCGACTGACGGCAAGCGAAATAGAAAATTAGCTCACCACTACCTTTCATAAAGCTATCGAGGGCATTCGTTGATAGCATGCCATCTAATGTCTCGGCTTGAAAGGGAGAGAAGGATCTTGGCTGGAAGACCAAGTGATCAATGTTTTCCGGGTCATTTAGATCTTGGTCTTCCTCCGTGATTATGGCATTGTCGGCGGTCGAGTTATCTTCCCTTTCCCAAGGGGACATAGAAGGTGTAAAATCGGCAATCGTCAAGCGCCTCTTTGAATTGGGATTCGAGGTTTCATAATGGCAGTCGAAGCCGTTGGCTCTGCACCGACCGCATCCTTGTTTCTCGCCGCTGCATTTCAGCTACAAGTTTACAAGCAACGTTAGTTATCTGTCATACTTTTTGTGATCGATATATTCAGAAAGAAAAGCCGAACTCCGCGCACCTTTTTAATCCGACAGTGTTTGCAGGCGTTGCGGGTAAGCGGGCCGCGGCGCCGCTTAGTTGCGGTTGTTGAGTTCTTCACTTCCCTAGAGTCGCCTTCATGACAAGTCGTCCGAGGCATATCAAAGTCAAACGGAAAGTCTTCAATAGGCAGAGACTGAGTTGCGGTTGCCATTGTTCAACGAGTCGAAGTTGAGAGTGCGGCTAAGATCGATGGAATTCGAATCGAGATTGCGACGGCTTGTGTTAGTCTTTTTGGGTAACAAGACATCGCTTTAGACAAAGCCAATCCGCCGGTGAACCGACGACTGGCTACCGGTCAGGGATGGAGGGCCGGCAATATTCTAGAAACGGCAGAAAATTAGCGTGAACCTGTCTCGTCGGTAAAATGGCATCTTAGTAGTGTGTCAATATAGTTTCAACCTCTGAAGTCTGTTGGCATGGCCCAATAAAGCATGAGCGGCGCGTGAATGCCCCACTGGCCGATAGGGCAGTTAGAACATGCGGAGATTTAATCTTGGCATCCCGGGGAGTTTTGACGGCAGGGCCTGTCATTGTTTCTGGCCCGGCCACTTTCAGTTGACATGACAAAATTTGAGACGAGTCAGATTTATAGATGCGTAGAAGCTGCTACGCGACAGGATTAAGCGATGTAGCTAGACCTGGTCTCTATAACATATCTCAGAGCAACGAATATAATTTCATGGTGCGAATAGTGAGGACAATGAGATCCTGGGCAATGTAGAAACTTGATGGTTGATCGCATACTTTACAGGTGAGGTGGCTAAAAAGCAATCCCGAATACAGTTGCGAGGTATTAGAACCTAATTAACATGATCTAGCAAAGTATCAACTTCGGATAGAGGGCTCTTGCGAACAAACAAGACGGCGGATAATATTCGACAAACACAAGCCTTCAGCGGCATCCCACTGCAGGGCCCTCTTCCGCGCTTCGCCTCAACGCAGTTCACATAATGCACCAGCCGCGTCGCAGAAGTAAAGTCTCCTACGGTCAAAAGTTTCTTGGCAGAATGTCTGCCACCGGCAGCATTGAGCAATAGCCAGAACAAGGCCTGCTTCAGCCTTAGGACAAGTCTCAGTGGAAGGTACTCCAACAATGTCAGGGTCTTCCCCGCAGTCAAAGTTATACGAAGGGTCGTTTCAAGCCTAGGACCTCGGACTGATGCATTGTATTTGCACAAATTATGAGGAGACAAGATGCTCTGATGGGTATGCATGGTTCCGCCAGGCTTATGTGCATGCTGCCCATCTTCCGTGTTTGGTTGCAATATGCCTGCGAAGTACATACATAATGTGTGGAAAGCCTCTACGTGCACGGCTTTGTTTAGCCACAAGCTTCAAGGCTGGATGAAGGTTTGCCTCATCGCTTGACTGGCTTGAGATACACATTTAAAGACGGCTTTTGCCACACGATATAAACTTTTTGACCCTGTATCCAGTCACTGCCCTCGTCCGCTAGCTTCAGATCGAAGCTGAACAAAATCCTTGCTAGGATAAGACGCATCTCAGAGTATGCGAGGTTGCGACCGACACAGTCTGCGTGGCCCATGCTGAAAGGTTGGAATGCGTCCAGCCTATCCTTCGAGAAGCTCGGATCTCCGAGGAAACGCTCGGGATGATATTCTAAGGGTTTAGTAAAGTTCAGTTCGTTATGATACATCGCCCACTGCCAAGTAGCGACAAGACACTGTGTCAGAATGAAAAGAGTCAGCACTTTGCTGGGAATGAAGCAGGGCATTACTCAGTAGAGGGGTCACTTACACCTTCGGGTACGATATTGCCATCAATGATAGCGGTACCATGCGTGACTCGTCGGGGCAACCAAGAAGGAACTACCGGGAACACGCGCAGCGCCTCGTCCAGGCAGGCCAACATGTAAGGGAGTTTGTTGACGGATAGAAGAGTAATGTCTGACGGATCAGAAAAGGAAGATCTGACCTCTTCTACAACTTTCTGATATGCCTCAGGATTCGATAGCAGAAGGAACGAAGTTGCCGTGAGCAGCGTCGCTGTGGTCTCTGACCCAGCCGCGATGAGAAGCGTCGAATTCTGGACAAGGCGATCCATGTCAAGCTTCTGCTCTCTCTGATTAGTCCCGCTCTGCTCTGGTATCTGAGACAATATGATCGCACGTCCAACACTGAGCAAAATCAGCGGCGAGAAAAGGATCGAACGTACCATTCCTTCTTTGTTATTGAGCAGGGACTCAATGATATCTGCTTGTTTACCCGACTGAATGCGACTTTGTAACTTCTGAATCGTGTAACCCATAAATTCCAACTTGTTCTTGGCGAGTATCTTCATGATAATAGCTGTGATAAACCTCAATCCCTGCCGGTTCAGCTCACCGATCCACTCAATCTCTTTCTGCTGAAATGCAATGATCTTTACCCAGGGATGATATTCTGCTGACTCGAGGCATCCAAAAGAGCTGGAGAAAGCAAGTTCGCCAAGGATGTCGAAGGTGCAGAAGTTGACTGACAGCCTAATGTTAGCATCAGACGGAACTTCGGCAGATGTAATCCCAGCACTCACACCAGTCACGGAGATCAAGCGCGCGGGTACCATCATCGCAGTTCTCATGAAGTCGCTTGAGAAGCAAGTCAACGTAACCGCCGATCATCGGTTCTTGCTCCTTCATGCCACGATCCGAAAAATACGGTGAAACCCACTTGCGTAGTCTCGCGTGTTCCTCGGGCCCAGCGTTGAGCAAGCTAATGGGTCCTTCCGGTCCTTCACGGTAGTACTCGTATGCTTTCTCAAATTGGCCGCGACGACGCATGCCGTAGATGTCCTTCCAGGCGTTTCCTTCGATGAAGCCAAGGTTATTGGGCCCCATTCTGACGACTGGGCCGTACTTCTTGAACAAGGATTCTGCATAGAATGGCAGCTGCCCTTTCACTCCTGCAATCACAAACGGAAGGTTTGTCAAGCGGTTCAGAATTGGACCTGGATATTTATTGAGCGGATGAAAGAAAGCCCTGTAGACCGCTAAACAGGACAAGTACGCCGCAAACTAATTCTGTCAGCCAAGTATAGACCTCGAGTGCTTGCGGTATCTTACCAGACCGGATATCAAGACCGCCCAGCGGCTGACTCCTTCAAGTTCAGCAATGCATGAGAAGAAAGACATTGTGAATAAGGGTCAAGAGACAAAAGGTCGTGCATGCAACACGTCGCAAGTTCTTTGCCCCTGTAAAACTTATTGATTGAAGATGATAACCGCGGATTGCCAATTTTAGTCAGTTGAGGTGAGGTAGGTGAGCACGAACAAAACGAACAAATGGCATAGGGCCCTTTCGCAAGATAACATCAAGCTGCATTTGGACACGTTGGATATGTTTCAACTGGCTAAATTCGTTGTCCTTCATGCTTGACGGAGGCTTTCGCTCTCTTGCCACGCGTTCTCATCTTCAATCGCTCTGGTACCGTATCAGCAACTGAATCCGCACGCCATGCGGGAGAGCTTTTCGGATC